TATTATTGGATAATTTACTTATTGTCATAAAAACAACGTCTTGAATAATCGTTTGTAAACTTTGAAAAATCTTGAATAAAGTCTTTTAATAAAGATAATTTGAAAGTTGTAAATTTTAAGCATGAATAATCTTTTAGAAAATCAAATTGAAGTAGAAAATGATCAATCATCAAGACCTACTACGCCTCATATGCAAGTTATTCCAGCTAACCAGAGTGTCAAAAGCTGGGTTTGGTTATTTGTTAATAAACAAACTCGATGTTGTCAAGTTATAATTGAGGATAAGGGTGTCAGACATCAATGTGAATGGTCTTGTCAAAAAAAAACAAGCACTAATATTGCTAGTCATTTAAGAGTCAAACATCGGATAATTTAAGGAAAAGAAGAAGCTGAAGTAATAAACTCAGAAACACATAATAGAAATTTTCCACTTGAACAAAATAAAATTAAAAGAATTACATATCATTTAATAGACTGGTTAATAGATGACATGCAGGCTTTTCATGTAGTAGAAAATCGCAAATTTCAAAATTTTGTTCATGAACTTGAATCATTTTATTCTATTCCTTGTAAAAATTCCTTATATAAAAAAAATGAGTGAAGCCATTAGTACAGTCGAACAAAATTTAAATGAATCAATAAACAATTCTATGGAATCTTTTTTTTTTACAACCGATTTGTGGACTCAGAATCATACACCTTATATTGGAATCACAATTCATTGGATAACACCTAACTTCGAACTTAAACAAGCATTACTTACAATTGAAAATTTTACATATCCTCATACAGGTGATCATATTGAGGATTGTCTATGCAAAGAATTTCAAAAATGGGATATTACTGAAAAACTTTTTGGTGGTGTGACTGATAATGATTCCGCGATGCTTAAAGCAATGCGTCAATTAGAAACTAATCATATTCGTTGCATTGCACATACAATGCAACTTGCAATTAAAGATAGATTAAAATATATAAAAAATTTAATTGATTCTGCAAAAAAATTAAATAACTTTATAGTTAATCATGACAAATATCACCCACTACTAAAATCAATTTTTCGTGAAATAAATGCTAAAGGCAAGTAATTTATTATATTTAAATTAAACAAATAAAAATAATAATAATATATATATATTTATATTTTTATAATAGAAACAGATACACAAGAAATTAATATTCTAGACCCAATTGCATCTGATACAGAAACACGATGGAATAGTACTTTCTTTTTATTAGAAAGACTTATTTATTTTCGTAATACACTTTCTATATTAGGTAATAAGCTTGCTTTAGATCCTGATAGAACTACACGAAATGATGGTGATAATTTAAAAAAATTATTGCTTAATTCAGATAATTGGACATCATTAGAAGAATTAATTTTATTACTTCGGCCTTTTGTGGATGCAACAAATCTTACGTCAGGTAGTTCATACTCTACTCTTTCACTATGGTATCCTACTTTATATTGCTTATGAGATTATCTAGAAAATATT